CCATTCACTTGCTACCTGACCCTGGCAAGACCCTCCCCTTCTCTGGGACTCAGTTTCTATATCTGTCAGATCAACAAGGGGGCTCCCATTTGGGGGGGTGGGCAATCCAATTTCCCATTTCCATAGGGCTTTCCGCACCACCCTGGGAAGGACAGCATGTAGGTAGTTTGTTATTCAGTCATTTCAAGCGTGTCCAATTCCTCATGACCCCATTTGGGGTTTTCTTGGCAAAGATACTGGAATGGTTTGCCATTTCCTTCTCCAGAAGAACTGAGTCTCAGAGGTGAACTTACTTTCCCCAGGCCAACTAACAAGTAAATAGTAGAGCCTAGATTTAAACTACTCTTGGAACTCTGAATCCAAGGCACCATGCAAGGATAGGGAGGTGAGGAGAAGAGTGGCCCTCACTTGCCCCTCCAAGGTTTTCTGCACATTACCACTGCAGTACACACCTTCATTACTTTAGTGTTGAGCAAGCTTTCCAGGCTGCAATGGCAAAGGAAGGCCTCAGGGTGGTGATACAGCACCACCCATGAACCTTGAGACTAGGCATTAGTTGCAGGAGTGGTGCAGAGCTGAGAGGGGAGGAGGAAAGGGAAAGAGTAGAGGTCACCTAGGAAAGAGGAGAAGAAAGGGCAACCATTTCATTAAGGAGGGCAGGATGAGAGGGGCAACAAAACAATTAGAGCAAGGGAGGTGTGGTCTCCTCCTGAGGTTTTGGCCCTAAGGATGACTGAGCCCCATCAGACCAACAGATAGATCCCACTAAAGAGCCCTCTACTGGTTGATACCATGATTACCAATAACTCCCTAAATCAGAACCAAGTAGTACAGACAGTTCTCACTTTACATAAATTTGCATTACACAAATTTGACTTTAGTAAGGAATTGCGAAGAAATCTGCATTCCAAAAAAAAGTTGACTTTACTGCATAATACCATTCTCATTTTCTCTCTCTCTCTCTCTCTCTCTCTCTCTCTCTCTCTCTCTCTCTCTCTCTCTTCTCCTGACTCTCCACTTGGGCTCCATGGCCTCCCACCCTCTTACCAATACAAAACCAAAAAAAAAAAAACCAACTCTAAAACAAAAAAACCTCTTTAAGTAAAAGCAGAATAATGGGTTCCAGAGTATTCAGCCCAACTCATGTCTGTCTTCAGTTAATCCATTCCCAGATAGCACATTTCTGTCCCCAACCCCAACATGTCATCTGTCCTCTGGGACACAGCCCTATGTGCGCCCCCCCACCAGGTTTCTTCTCCTGCTCTCACTTCTTTGTATTACATAAAAATCTCTTTACTTAGAGATCTGCAGAATGGCCCACTTATGTAAAGCAACAACTATCTGTATAGCTGCAACAACACTGGACTGGGGAGTCAGAATACCTAGGTTTAATTAACTGTGTGATCTTAAGCCAATCACTTCTCTGGTTATCCCCTTTTGGCTAACCTTCCTATGATGAGTTCCACCATACTTCCCAAGGCTGGGCTGTGGACAGCAGGCCAAAACTCAGAGACTTTCCAACTTGGTAAATCTACCATAACCTGTGCTCGAACTGCCTGAGTCTTTGTTGGAGGCACAGGTTCACTCAGTCTTGGTATCCCCAGCACTTCTCCCAAGACTTTGCACAAAGTAGGTGCTTAAAAATGCTGATTAGATTGGACTAGAGAAATTCAAAAGAAATACCAGGCCACAATGAGACATTTTAGGAGGAGGCCTGTGGAAAAGGGTTTGATTATTTTAATTAGGGTAGGGATCCTCTTTTCTACTTTTCCTGCCTTTGCCATAGGTCCTACCACAGACCAGAGAACATAGTAGATACTCAATAAAAATCTCATGTACTAATAAATGAATGAGTTCTCCATCACTATTCAAAAGCCCTAGAGATTCTTCCCTCCCAACACCTCTTATATCCCTTCCTTCCTCTCCACTTCCACAGTTACTGCCCTAGTTCAGGCCCTCATCACTTCTCCCTTGGACTGTTACACCAGCCCCCTAAGTGGTCTCCCTGTTTCTAGCCCCTCCCCTCTTCAACCCATCTTCCACATAGCTGCCAAAATAAGGTTCCTAAAGCACAGGTCATTCTGTGAAAACTTTTCAATGGTTCCCTGCTGAATAAGTATCTGAGGCAATATTTGAACTCAGGTCCTCTTGACTGTAGATCCAGTACTCTATCCACTAAGTCACCTAGCTGCCAAGAAAACTGAATATAAAATAAGGCCCAGAAAATAAGCCAGAACCAGGCCTTACTGCTTTAAGAGCCAAGCTACAGAGTCAATATTCATTCTGTGGGCAATATCGTTTAATAGAAATCATGCTAGCTTTTTGAAGTCGGAAAATCTGGATTCCAACCTCACCTCTACCACCATCAGTTCTTTCTCTGGGGATGGAGAGCATTTTTCATCATAAGGCCTTTGGAATTGTCTTAGGCTCTTCATATTATATATCCCAGGGGACTGACTCCAATGGGATCATTTCTCCTTTTGGTTCCTTGTACCAACCTCCCTCCTACTACCCATGGAACTAGTTACTCAAGTAAAATCTCTAATGTACTCACTGGATAACTCATGTCTAGATTTACACTATATACTTTTATACACTAATGGTGTATAAAAACAATTTAGATGATATCTAAAAAAATAAAATTAAAGGGTGAAAGAGGAATGCACTAGGAGAAAGGGAAAGGGAAAGGTAGAAGGGGCAAATTATCTCATACAAAAGAGGCAAGAAAAAACTTTTACAGTAAAAAATGGGTGAAGTGAGGGAGTGAATGAACCTTACTCTCATCAGAATTGGCTCCAAGAGGGAATAACATACACACTTAACTGGGTACAGAAATCTATCTTACCCTACAGGAAAGTAGGAGGGGAAGGGGACAAGAGAAGGAGGTGGGGTGACAGAAAGGAGGGCAGATTGGGGGAAGAGGTAGTCAGAATCAAAACACTTTTGAGGAGGGACAAAATGAAAGGAGAGACAGAATAGATTAAATTGAGGAGGAAATAGGATGGAGAGAAATACAGTTAGCAATCCTAATTGTGAAAAAAATTGGAAGCAAGTTTCTCTAATAAAGGCCTCATTTCTCAAATTCTCATATAGAGAACTGAGTCAAATTTATAAAAATAAGAGCCATTCCCAATTGATAAATGATCAAAAGATATGAACAGTTTTCAGATGAAGTAATCAGTTATCTATTGCCATATGAAAACAATGCTCTAAATCATTATTGATTGGAGAAATGCAAATTAAAACAATTCTGATTCTAATAGGACAGAAAAGGAAAAAGACAAATGTTGGAGGGGACGTGAGAAAAATGAGACATTAATGCACTATTTAACCAGTCTGTAGAGCAATTTGGAACTATGTCCAAAGGGCTATAAAACCATGCATACCCTTTCACCTAGCAATATACCGCTACCAGGTCTGTATTGAAAAATAGATTAAAAAAAAAAAAAGGAAAGGGACCTATACATACAAAAACATTTACAGCAGCTCATTTCTGGGGGCAAAGAATTAGAAAATTGAGGGGATGCCCATCAATTGGGGAATGGCTGAACAAGTAATAGTATGTGATTATGATGGAATATTATTGTATTATAAGAAATGATGAGCAGGATGTTTTCAGAAAAACCTGGAAAGACTTGCATGGGCTGATGCAAAGGGAAATGTACTGTGCACAAAGTAACACCAATATTGTAAGATGATCAGCAGTGAATGACTTAGCTATTCTCAGCAACACAACGATCCAAGACCACTCTGAAGGACTTAGGATGAAAAATGCTATCCATCCCCAAAGAAAGAACTGATGGTGTCTGAATACAGATGGAAGCATGGTTTTTTTACTTTATTTTTCTTGAGTTTTTTTTTTTTCTTGTCTATGTTTTCTTTCATAACATAACTAATATGGAAATATGTTTTGGATGATGACATATGTATAACCTATATCGAATTGCTTTCCTTCTCAGTGAGGGGCAGGGGAGGAAGGGAGAGAATTTGGAACTCAAAGTTTTAAAAGCAAATGTTAAAAATTGTTTTACATTTAATCGGGGAAAAATAAAATGCTAAACAAAAAAAAAAACTAAAGAAAAAATTACTTGAAACTAGAATGACATTACACATGAATCACAGGTCAGGGAAATTCAGTCTCACACCCCAAGGGTCATGTAGAAATTATCAAGCAAGTTTAAAAGAGAGTCATCTGAGAGGCTAGAACAAGTACGGTGTTCTAGCTAACCCCTGTGAAGAGGAACAGGTCTGCTCTTTCTCTGCCAAGACCCCAGTTTAGCCACAGGAGGACCCTTCAAGTTCCTAATGTTTCAGAGGGTGTTAGACTTCCTTTTTTTCCATAGCTGATCTAGAGGAGTCTCAGATCAGCTAGCAAGTGTGGCTGCATTGGGAGCCAAGGATAGATTGAACATAAATTCATGACTCTACAAGAAGTCTAGCAAAGAGACTAAGAGGAACTAATGCCGAAGGGGAACTTCTTGACCACTCCATGAATGGGAGAAAATAACTTGCAACAACCAGGAGCTGTGAATACCCCTTGGCTACACGTGTCTCTAAGCTTGAACCCACTTTCCCCTGGACTCTGCACTGGTGGGAGAGGGTATCCCAGACTTGTATGGGGACATTGGTACCAACTCTTCTCCAGCCCCTTCAAATCTTATAAGGCCTTCTTTCCTCTAAAAGTTAGGGGGGTGGTAGAGAGAAGAGGAGGCCTAGGCTGAGGCTAGAGGCCTCTCCTTCCTCTCAAAGTGGTTCCTTTCCTTCTTAGGGGGAAACATAGCTCTTGACCCAATCTCTAAAATGACTCTAGTCTTCAATTCACTTGATATTTATAAGTGACCCCTAGGGTATGACCAAGTTTCCTCAGCCCTACCTTCCCAAATACTCTATTTTTGTAACAGAGGAGTTCAAGGAAGACTAGCACTTCTGCTGTGAAGGCTTGCCCAGCCCTTTTCAGGGCTTCTCATATATCTTTGTGTTCACAGGCCCTGAAATCTCACCTGTGGCCCCAAGAAGCTGTAGCATGCACAGTGGCCACACCTTGGTAAACTGTTTGGTAGACAGGCTAAAGCAGGTAACCAACAGGCCTCAAACCCATCAGTGAGTTAGAGGGGGGTCTTCCCCAAGCATGTGAAGACTTCCTCTGGTGAAATGGGCAAATGAGAACAATTCGGATGAGAACAATTCGTTTCAATGGTCATGAAGGCAGCTGAAGTAGGTACTGTGGAGTGCTTACAGCTTGGTTAGCCGTCCATGACACCAAAGTCATCCACTGCATCCTGGTCCATCCCAGTCCTCCTTTTGCCACTGCACTTCGTTGACTCTGGAAGAGAGAGTAAGGCTCGTGACTTTGTGCAGTTCTGCCTCACTTAAATCCAGTTCACGCAGAAGTCAAGACATGACCCTATGAGTCACTGATCCTCTTCAAAGGATCAACAACAGCCTTTGTAACATCACTCCAGTTCTGAGTACTTTTCCATAATTAATCTGAAGCCTATGATTGATTAATTGAGCCTTATTCTCACCTCATTAAAGTATCAAGACATCTTATCATTTACTTTAAGTGGAGTGGGGATGACCTGACTTGAGTAAATCAATCAGCTCCACCTTTAGACAAACATGGGTAACAATATATCAGATTTGGGACAGGTTTATTTAACACTCCAGAAAATGACACCAAAACTCACAGCAGCCCATAAACAGATACTGAAATCTCATCCTGAGTACTCAAATGGCCCAGCAGCCCCTCCCCCAGGTCCTCTGGAAGTGAATAGAGCTTGGAATTGTTTCTGGGGCAGTCCTTTAGCATTCTGCTGGGTCCCCGGCCCTCCTGCAACTTTCTGCCCAGTCCCTCCTAGACTCAGTGTCACCCTGTGATTGGGACTCCCTCCAGAAGAAGGCTGATGAACTTTGGGGGCTTGTGAACAAGCAGTCCCCTTGCTATTGGATGGGCACTGTCCAATTAACTAAGTGATTCTGCTTTCCAAGTAGGACATTGCCGGGAAAAGATGTCGACAACAAGGCTCTCCTTTGTCCAGGGAAAGGCACTTCCCTCTCTTTAGAAACTCCCATTCCTAAAGTCTTGAGGTTAGGAAATTTTAAACTTGGGCTACTGAAGGGGTCCACACATGTCTCTACAGAAACTCCATCAATGTCTTGGCTGCTGCTATCTCCCGGGAAGGAAAGGTCCCCTCTCACCTATTAACTCCCATTCCAGAGGCAATGTGCAGTAGTGGATAGAAGACTTAGCTGAGGACTCAGGAAGACCTGGTCCTCAATTCTGCCTCAGGTGCTGCTCATGACCTCATGCTCATATGACCTCATGACCTCATGCTCATTCAACCTCATGACCCTCTGGGCCTCTGCTTCTCTCCCCCAACCCTGAACAGAAACCAGCAATTTACAAAAGCATATGGTGAGCTTGGGAGGGGAGTTCTTTTAAAAATATATATATAAATAAATTTATATATTTTTAGTTTTCAATATTTACTTCCACAAGATTTTGAGTTCCAAATTTTCACCCCATCTCACCCCTCCCCCCACCCCAAGATGGCATGCATTCTGAATATCCTTTCCTCTAGTCTGGCCTCTCTTCTATCTCTTTCCCCCCTTCTCTTATCCCCTTTCCCTTCTATTTTCCTGTAGGGCAGGACAGACTTCTGTACCCCATTTTCTGTATTTCTTATTTCCCAGTAGCATGTGAAAACATTTTTTTTAAACATAAGTTTTTAAAACTTTAGGTTTCAAATTTTATCCCTGCCTCCCTCCCCACCTACCCTCATTGAAAAGGCAAGCAACTCACTATAGGTTATATATGTGCAGTTATGCAAAACACTTCCATAGTAGACATGTTTTGAAAAACTAACTCTATTTCCCTTAATCCTATCCTGCCCTCCCATTTATTCTATTCTTTCTTTTGACCCTGTCCCTCCTCAGAAGTATTTACTTCTGATTACCCCCTTTCCCAATCTGACCTCCTCTCTATCATCCACCTGCTCTCTTGTTCCCTTCTCCCCCTATTTTCCTGTAGGGTAAGACAGATTTCCATACCCAATTGAATGTGTATGGTATTCCCTCTGTAAGCCAAATCCTATGAGAATAAGATTCACTCATTCCCTCTCACCTTCCCCCGTTTCCCCTCCACTGTAAGAGACTTTTCTTTTCTGGGTTTTTTTTTTTGTGTGTGTGAGATAATTTACCCCATTTTACCTCTCCCTTTCTCCTTCTCCGAATATAATCCTCTCTCATCCCTTAGTTTTATTCTCCAGATACGACCCCTTAATCTTCAACTCACCCTGTGCCCTCTATCTATCTATCTATCTATCTATCTATCTATCTATCTATCTATCTATCTACATATATACATATAATTTTTTTCCTCCAACTACCCTAATAAGTCTCTTATGATTTCTCTTTCCTGTTTACCTCTTCATGTTCCACTTGACTCTTGTATCTGAAAGTCAAATTTCCTATTCAGCTCTGGTCTTTTCATCAAGAATGCTTGAAAGTCCTCTTCTTCACTGAATGACCATTTTTTCAAGGGGAGTTCTTAAACAGACACCTTTTCTTCTACCTTTCTGTTTCTTTTTCTGAGGACTTTGCCAACTCTCCATAATATTGCTCAGATAGAGCAGGTATAAGGTGAATAGCCAATCTGTTGCCAAGGCCAGTCAATTTCACCTCTGCATAATCTCTTGAATATATAGGGAACTGAGCCAGATGTATAAAAATAAGAGCCATCCTCCAACTGACAAATGGTCAAAGGATATGAACAGAAGAAATAAAAGCTGTCAATACTCATATAAAAATGCTATAAATCACTAATAATTAGAGAAATGCCCATTAAAAACAACTCTGAGGTACCATATCACACATATCAAACTGGCTGATAGGACAGAAAAGGAAAATGACAAATGCCAGAGGGGATGCGGAAAAATAGGGACACTGATACATTGTCAGTGGAGTTGTGAACTGGAGAGCAATTTGGACCTATGCCCAAAGGGCAATAAAACTGTGCATACCCTTTGACCCAGCAATAGCACTTCTAGGGCTGTATCCCAAAGAGATCATAAAAATGGGAAAAGGACCCACATGTACAAAAATATTCATAGCAGCTCTTTTTGTGGTGGCAAAGAATTGGAAACTGAGAGGATGCCCATCCATTGGGGAATGGCTGAACAAGTTGTGGCAAATGAATGTAATGGAATACTATTGTGTAATAAGAAATGATGAACAAGTGGGTTTCAGAAAAAACCTGGAAAGATTTAAGTGAACTGATGCTGAGTGAAGTGAGCAGAACCAGGAGAACATTGTACACAGTAACAAGAACACTATGGGATGATCAACTATGAATGCCTTAGCTATTCCCAGCAATACAATGATCCACAACAATTTCAAAAAGCTCATGAGAAAAAATGCTATTCACATCCAGAGAAAGAACTGATGGAGTCTGAATACAGATCCTTTCTGTACTTTTTCATAAGTTTTTTTTTTCCTTTTGGTCTGTTTCTTCTTTCACAACATGGAAATATGTTTTACGTGATTGGCCATGTATGTCAAATTGCTTGCCATCTTTTTTTTTTAAGGCAATTGGGGTTAAGTGACTTGCCCAGGGTCACACAGCTACTAAATGTCAAGTGTTTGGTCTGAGACTGGATTTGAACTCAGGTCCTCCTGACTTCAGGGCCGGTGCTCTAGCCACCGCGCCACCTGGCTACCCCAAATTGCTTACCATCTTATGGAGGGGGGAGTGAGGACAGGAGAGAGAAAATTTGGAATGCGAAAATTTTAAATGAATGTTAAAATTTGCATCAACACGTAATTAGAAAAAATAAAATACTATTAAAAATTAAATTAAATTAAGGTAAAAAACTTGCTTCCTACAGTTGCTATTTTGCAAACCTTAAAGTACTAAAGAAATGTGAGACTGTTATTACTATGTGCCTATGTGATTTTAAGCTCCTTGAGACTTATGAGCTGCCCTTTTTGGAGGGATCCAGTCATGTGACTTCATCACTCCAAAACAGGCCTCTTTTCAGCTTTCACTCATTGGTCCTACTTGGGCCCTCTGGAGCCAAGCAGATCAAATCCAAACAAGGAATTTCTCATCCACAGGACAGACCTTCAAATATATGCAAAAAGCTGTTATGCCTCCCTTCCACCTCCAAGTCTTCTCTTCTCCAGGATAAAAATCCTTTAATAGATCTTTACCTGGCATGATCTTCAGGTCGTTTGCCCTCCTCTTCCTGGACATTAATGTGGACAAGCATTCTTTGCTACTATATTACACTGTTAATGCATACTGAACTTGAGGTCCACTAACTATCCAAGAACTTTTTTCAGGTGGCTATTAGGCATATCTCCTCCCTCCTGTCCTTGTCAAGTCAATTTTTTTTTAACACAAATGTAAGATTTTGTATCTATTCCTGTCAAATGCCATAGCTCCTCAGACCCAAAGGACCTCCTTCTACACTTCCTGCTGCTGCCTCATTGCCAGACTCCCCAGGTGAGAATTGGAACCATAGATCCTCAGACTGCCCAGGTACCTGGAGTCTTCCTTCTCCTGCTGGGCACAAAAGGCTGCAAGGGGCCAGGCCGGGCATCTTCCATCTGTCCCAAAGCAACCACTTCCATCTGTGCAAGGACAAGGCAACTTTCACCTCCTACTGCCAGTCCAATTTCCCAACTGAGATGTGGAGAACCTACCGTGCAAAGTAAAGCAACCTTCCCTTTGACTTCAGGTATCTCATCTCCTTCTGTGCCAGTCCTGTAAGGGCAGAGGATGGTGCCCTCCACTCAATGATGAACATTCTCACACCTGGTCGTACCCTTCACATCTCTGTGACTCTGAACTCTTGTAGATCATCCAAACCCCACTCAACACCCCCTACTACCTGATTCCTTACCCCCATCCCCCTCAACCCTCCCACTCCAAAGTTTCATCCCAATTCCCCCCAGCCCTTCTACCATGCCCTCTGGAATGCCTGTTCCATAGACAACAAGCTTCCCCTCATCTTAAATATTTTCCTCTCCCACTTCTATCTACCAACTCTTACTGAAACCTGGCTACCTCCAGCGGCTGTTGTCCATAGACCTCCAGGTCACACTCCTTCCTTCCATGGAGAGTTTGGTATCTGGCTCACAATTTTTCTCTCCTCCCCAACTCCTGCCCTCATACTAGGGAACTTCAACATACATATTAACTGTCTCTCAAATGCCTTAACCACTCAGTTCCTCAACCTACTCACCCTCCATGAGCTCCACCTAATCTTAGCCACACACAAAAGTGGTCATACCCTTGATCTTTCCA